GGGAACGGCACCGGCACCGGGACCGGCCCGCCGCCGCCGGCCCCACGGCCGCCTTTTCCCAACAGCTCTACTTCATCCGGACGCCCGGGAGCGCCGCTCCGGCGCCGCCGCATCCCACGGGAAGCTCCGCGGTGGCCCCCGGTGCCGCCAACGTCTCCAGGGCGGCGCGGTGAGAGCGGCCGCCAGCGCCCGGCTCTTCCCAACGCGCCCGCCCGGAGCGCGCACGCTTCCCTATGGAAACGGCGCCCGGAATAAAGCTGGCAGSGCGGCCGCCTCGTCTCCCGGTGCATCCGGGGTGGGAACGGGGAGGGAAAGGCGCCGCGGCGGGATCCAAGCCAGCCGGGCGTGAGGCTCCGAAACCCTCCCGTTTATTCACTACTACAGCTGGGAATGCAGCGGAGCCGCCAAATCCGACGCTGCGGCCCCGGGAAGGGGGGGCCGGCGGCTCCCGGGCGCTCCCAAAGCCGCCGGGACGGGAAGGGACAGGGAAGGAGGAGTGCGGGACACCAAGAGGCGCCAGAGCCGCTTCCACGCGCGGCGCCTCCCGCGGCCACGGAGCCGGGATGGGAGCCGGGATGCCGCCCGCGTGCGGAGCCGGCGCCTCCGGCCGCCCCGGAGCGGCGCTGGAAGCGGCTCCGCCAGCCACTCCAGCGGATCCGGAGGTTCCGACGTTTCGTTAAAAAAAGGGCCCAAAAAAAAAAAAGAATTCCGAAAAAAACTCCCAAACAACCTGTCCAGGTCCATGGGCGGCGGCCGCGCGGGCGGCGCCGGCGCCCTTAGCTCCCGTAGTGCATCGTGTTGGTGGTGATGGACATGGGCGACGCCATGGAGATGGCCGGGCCGCCCATGGTGAACTGGCTGTTGAGCGGGTAGTGGGTGGCGCCGCCGGAGCCGCTCTGCCCGCCGGAGCCGCCTGCCGAGGGCAGGGAAAGCGGGATGAGCGGGGAGGGGGCGGGAAGGCGGGAGGAACGGGATGGGGTGGGAAGGTGGGCTGAGCAAGGTGGGAAAAATGGGAGTAGGGGGGGGGAAGGCGGGATGAATGGGATGGGCAGGGATGGGAAGGTGGGATGAGCGGGATGGGGACCGGGAAGGCGGGATGAAGAGAACGGGGGCCAGGAAGGCTGGATAAACGGGATGGGGGCAGGAAGGTGGGATGAACGGGATGGGGGCCACAAAGGTGGGATGAATGGGATGGAGGCCGGGAAGGCGGGATGAAGGGGAGATGGGGGCAGGAAGGCGGGATGAACTGGACGAGGGCCAGGAAGGCGGGACGAAGGCCGGGAAGGTGGGATGAACGGGACGAGGGCCGGGAAGGCGGGAAGAACGGGACAAAGGCCGAGAAGGCGGGATGAAGGCCGGGAACGCGGGATGAACGGGATGGGGGCCGGGAAGGCGGGACGAAGGCCGGGAAGGCGGGAAGAACGGGACAAAGGCCGGGAAGGCGGGACGAAGGCCGGGAAGGTGGGAAGAACGGGACAAAGGCCGAGAAGGCGGGATGAAGGCCGGGAAGGCGGGATGAAGGCCGGGAAGGCGGGATGAAGGCCGGGAAGGCGGGATGAAGGCCGGGAAGGCGGGATGAAGGCTGGGACGCGGGATGAACGGGATGGGGGCCGGGAAGGCGGGACGAAGGCCGGGAAGGCGGGATGAAGGCCGGGAAGGCGGGATGAACGGGACGAGGGCTGGGAAGGCAGGATGAAGGCCGGGAAGGCGGGAAGAACGGGACAAAGGCCGAGAAGGCGGGATGAAGGCC